CCCCAAAACCCCAAAACCCCAAAACCCCAAAACCCCTTTTTATACAAAATTTATTGCATTATTTAATAATTTAGACAAAAGATGGCCCTAAACCTTGCTGGAGATGGGATTATTGACAACCTCTACCATTATCTATGGGCGAAGGATGCCCTTTTTAATTCAGGCCCTTACATTCTTCTGCCTGATACGATAATTTATAAGTACGGAGACCCTTCTTTCTGGTACTTCACTTCAAAAGACGGAACAATTTTGAGGAAATCCAAAAAGAACGTTAAAACCAAAGAGATCGAGAAATCTTTCCTCAGAGGATGAAAATAAAGGGGAGATCGTGGCAGTTTTGTATACAAACAAGTAAATAGAAGTGTTAAGAACACTAAGAAGAATAATTCATTTCATGAGACTATTCCAAGCAAAAATTCAGACAAAACAGATGAAGCTAGTGACAAGTCAGACTATTATAATCACTCTGATGGTTATAATGACAATAGTTTTTAATTATAATGGAGACTCTCAAGAAGAAGTCAAAGTCAGCCAATGTTTTGAGTTTTTCGATCGTGAAGAATTTAAAGAGTTTTTGTATAACAGGAAAAATATTGAAGGCGTCCTTCAAAAATTTGTTTCACCTAAAGGAGAACAAAAATCAACATTAAGTATTATATGGAGCAATAAGCTGTGATTCTTTGAAAGAAGAGCTATTAATTATGATGGAGAGAAATACCATTCCCAGATTTTGCCTATTAGGGGAACAACCCTCCCTCATAGAATGCAGAGTATTGCTAATAGCATCAGATATCATATTTCTAATATCACCTTTGAAAAAGTAAGAAATCAATTCAACTTTAGATGCATATTTCTAGAATGGTACTCCATTTCAGACTTGACAAAACTGACAAACTTTGGTTGCTATACTGATCCTCATTAAGACTTGCTAACAATGAAGATTCAGAGGTATCATCAGTATCAACATTTAAAGGTAATGAAGGAGGATATGATGATACAAAAATGAATGCTATTCCCCTTCAAATTACCTCAGATTCTGACCCTAAAACTCGTATTTTCAAAACAAATCATAATTTCTCACAAAAATTCCAAAAATACGAATATGCAAAATGCTTACACTGTGACACCGAGCAGGAGAGTAACAGTTTCTACAAGATCAGCTACAAATTAATAACAAAAGGTCATCTTGCTTCCAAGTCCAAAGGTAACAATATATACTTAATTCTTAGATAAGAAGTCTAAAGAGAAGAAAGAGCATGAGAGTACTGAAGTAGACTTGCCTAAAATTATCAAGACTCTCCATCCAGACTATAAAGTCAACACTTGTCGAGAGCTTCTAGATGACCTTGATATGGCAAATAAGGAAACTTACATATGAGAGAATTGTTACCTACAGGTTACTGAGTTCATGCTCAATCTTGAAAACGTCTTTTCTGACGAACAGAAACAAGAGGATAGTACTAATAAGAAGAAAAAGTCTGAAATACATACCTCTTTGAGCAGTGGCAGTGTATCAAAATCGAGCAACACTGATAAGCCTCCTTTGAGGAATACTAAACAATCTTTATTTAGAATAAAGACAAAGAAGAAGCTCAAAGTTGCAAAGAAATCTCAGAAAATAGATTTTAACTTGGGACAAAATAAAATATCCGAGTCTCAGTCATACTCTTCTGTGAGTATAACTGAAAGTCCTAAAGAGAAGGAGAACAAGATGTTTGGAAGCCTGAAAGCACGCCCACGAAGTAGTTCTCAAAGACCTCGAACAGATCTTCAATCTTCTGAGAGTTTACATGAATCTAACGTATTTTCTGGTTTGATTCTTTAGGGTGAAAAAGAAGAGCCAAAGCTACCTCCTATAAGATCTAGACACAATCAATCTTTTACTAGAGATGGACGTAAATATTTTGACAGACGTAGGCTTGGCATTAAAAACTTACATAGGAGGTAGTGCAACTCCAAACTCACACTTTCGAAGTAGCTCACAGAAGAAGATACAGGAAAATCCTCCACAACCTAAGAGAAGAATAATTCAAAAATAAGGATGATCGTGACCAATCAATGATCAATAAATTGACTCAAAATAACAACAATTTTAAAGTGTTCCCAAAGAGAATGACTAAAGAGCAGAAAGGAAAGAAGAAGAAAAAGACTCCATTGGTGCATAACCCTGCATTTGGCAAACTCAATTTTATTCTGTCAAAGAATATTTATGACCCTGTCGGTGAGTAACCATGCTTCGATGTTTATGAGACTCTTTGAGGTTTAAAGAGATATTTCTCTTAAGGATGTTATAACTTTCAGCAATGTTTTGTTTAATGAGATACCCTTATTAAAAATATACGCTCTTTAACATCGTCTTTTTAACCTTTAATTATTCTTTAAGTCTGGGTACAATGAAATTCTTTACCTCGGATTTATTAACAAAATATTATTTTCATTACAATTTTGTTGAATAATTTCCTTATAGGAGAAAATACAAAATAATCATACTAATAACACTCTCCACCAGCCAGAAGCTAGCCTATCTCTAATTAAAACTATAAAACCTTACATCCCCATTTTAGCCTTAACCAAAAGGACTCGAACCTCTAAAATCTCATTTTTCCTACTTCAAGCTTCAATCCTCAAAAATCTCTTTTTGCTCTATTAAAATTCCTTCTTGATCAACCCAGCAGAGGTTTCCAACTCCCAAGTTGGCACACAAACTTGAAGGGCTTTGAGATTTTAAGAAATGGGAATTTGTAAGTAGGGTTTCTTGAGTGCAGTTACTCCATATTGTGACTATATCTGACTGATAACATAGTCATAACTTGATGCATTTTTATATGAAGCACCTATAGTTTTAAATTAGAGTAAATAAATGATTGACCGTATCAAGCTGATGTGATTATTTCGTCCTGATTCATTTATATACCAAGTAAACAGTCTATTGTTTCTAACAAACTCTTCAATTCTTAATAAATCAAATTACATGAAGATTCTAAATTAGCTAATACTTAGAATGAGGTGAAATATACACATACATTAACACAATCAAACAAACTTTTCTGTAATCTGAGTCAAGACATGACTCCTTTCAAATAATTGAAATACACATGAGTTTTAGTCAAAGATAAACTAGTCTAACTTCAATTTTATAAATAAATCAAGGGGTTTTGGGGTTTTGGGGTTTTGGGG